TGCAACAATGAAGCTGCAGATCCCCAAAGCTATCTCTCTTTGGCTGCTGCTCCGCTACCTGACCTGGCAGGCTTGGTTTAGGTAGCACCAAGTTCACTCTTAAACTGGGACCAAAAGTGATATATTATCCAGCATCTCTCCCATTTTGTCATTGTGGAAAGTGTTTTATGGCATTTTAGAACTCTACCATGTTTTGGGCAGCTACTTCTGCACTAGGATACCAGGATTATCCCCTGGGGAAATAAATTACTTATTCCTTGCAGCTGCTGAAAGTCCTGGGTGTGAGCTGGGCAGCATGAGCATCACCTGCAGACTGGTCCCCTTCCTCACAAATTGCTGTTCATGTCCTACCAGCTGGCTAGAAAGCTTTTCTGAGCCTGTCTCTGTGGGTGTTTGGGCTGTCAAGACAAGGCAAAACCACTTGCTGCTCCTTTTAGGCAAGTGCTGTATGCAGTATAAAAGAAAAACTAAGTTAAAAAGAGGTATGAGCCCATTACTTACTGGATTTTTGTGTAGTTGAAGTTGATGGCAGGGATGCTGCTGGCCCAAAAGAGCAAACTCTGGTCTGAGCATCTGGGGAAAGGAGTCACTGGGAAAGCAAATAGCCCTGTTGTTGTCAGAGGCAGATAAAACTAATGCTTTTTAACCTGTTTCATAATGCTTTTATGGATCTAGTAAGCGAATTTTTAAGAAAAAAAGAGAGACAGAAGTTAGTCATTTATTTCTGTGCTGCGTTAACCTGCTCTTCACAAACAAATCACTTGCCCCATAAGTTAGATGCCTGGCAGGGAGGCAGAAAACACCCTGCATTCCCCTGAACGGCTGGGCAATGCTGTGGGCTGACTGTGGCAAGATTGGAGGGGTTTTTCCAATTTTTATGAAACCCACCCTGCTACATGTCAATTAATGAACACTTAGGTGCTTTCCTCTCTGCAGGAGCCTGGGCATTGCCCAGCTGGGCTACGAGCACCAGGGAGGTCAATGATGGGAGCTGTTTTATTCAGTGCCACTGCTTTTTAGTGCCTCCAGCAATTCATGGCACAGTTTCCCCATCACAGCCCTGCTTTCCCTGGTTGGAAGCTTTTAGTGATGTTACTCCCACTCTGCCACTGTGTCCGCAATGCATTGCTGTTTAATTACTGCTGTACCAGCTGTGAAGTTAGTGTGACTAACTGCTTGAGACAGTTGTCCTTGGGAAGGGTATCTGTCTGGCAGAGGTATTTGGTTTGGGTTTAATTTTTCAATCTGTCATTTTTGCACTGCCTGCTCCAACCTTATGGCACTCTTTGCTTTGGGTTTTGCAAGCTGCCTGGCAGAAAGGTGCTGGAGGTGGCCTAGGGTTTGCTGGGCATCCTGATGAGTAAACAGACTGACCAGGAAGGGTTTCTCTGAGCAGCAAGGGTATTTAGAAAAAAAAAACAAAACCAAACAACACCACAACAACAAACCCATAACAGGGACTTTGCTTCTTCTTCCAGATCTCTGCACATGGGTTAGAGAGCTGCAAAGATGAAAATTCATGAGGCAAATGTGCTTCATCCCTGTTGCAGTGTTGAGGGCAGGAAGAAGGAGATCAGTAAACAAAGTTAAAAGCAAAACCAAGCAAAAAGCCCCACTTCTACTACAAGAGTAGGAAAGGAAAGTGGTTTCTGCCTGGCTTGGCAGAGGACTGGGTGGGAGTCCCTTGGGGGAGTGTTGCTGACCGGGTCAATGCTCCTGGATGGCATTAGCTAAGAGCAGCCCTGCTGCTGTACCTGCCAGCCCGGGCTTTCTCAGAAGACAACTGGTTTCAATAACAAAATAATTGTTGTGGTTTGTGTTTATTTAGTTGTGGTTTTTTAAACAGCAATTAATGATGTTTTGGGTCATTATTTTCCTCCCACAGGGTCCCCACGTAAGCAATGACAGTGGCTTTGCCGTCATGGGGTGCAATGCCAGTGCCTTCCAGGAACGCTCACAGAGTGCTCTGCAGGCTGCTGCCAGCAAAAGTTTTGTTTTCCCCAGGCAGGGTAGGGACTCGGGGCATTTCCTGATTTTATTTTCTCTCTGCTGATGTGGTGCAACACGTAGCTTCTCCATCCAAAAAGCTGGAAGCTTCCCAGGCAACCGGGGGCAGCTTCTGGTGCAGAGCAAAGGGGACACATCCTTTGTGCTGGGCTGGGATGAAGAGGGCTGTCAGCTCAGGGATGGATACACGGGGAAGGTCCTGAGAGCTGTTTTGGAGAAGTGGCCTGTTGCTAAAACAGAATCCTTAATAATGGATTGTCCTGGTTTCGAACCACGACATGGATGCAATCTCTTTAATGGCTTGGTGTGATCACTTGCCTGATTAGCCAGTGGGGAGGAAGATGGGCAGAATTGGGTTGTTCCATACATAATTAAAGCTAGCAGGAGCCCAAACACCAATGCTAATAAACACTTCCATTAAATAAATACAGAGGGCAGAGCAGGCATGTGGCTGCCCAAAGCCTCCTGCTGAGTTAGGCAGCGTTTTCTCACACGCTTTTGGAGTCAAAATGCGGTGAGCGTGAGTGGGTTTTGGCCGGCCAGCCAAACCAAGGGCTGGGGAGCCGGTAGCCAAATGCCCTGCCCAGCCATTGTGCTGGCGTGCAGAGAGAGATGAGATGTTTCTATCCCAGCATTTTGTGCCTGGTGAGGATGCTATAGTTCACAGAAGACACCCCAGGCTTGCTTTTTTTTAATAGCTTTGCTGTCCCTGTGTGGCACTTCAGGGTGTCCCCTAATACCCATCAGCTTGGTGGGGTTCAGCAGCCCCAGAGCCACCACCAGGCAGATGGAACCCCCCCGGTCAGGGCTTGGATGGGCACATTTGCAGGCGAGGGAATAGCAAGGAGCTGAACATCCTACACCCTTTGTCTTCATCTGCTGATTGCCAGCAAGGCTTCAGGATTTTTAAGCCCTTGATAGCCAAGGGGATGGAACACCACAGCAGCAAGTGATGCCTCCTCCCAAAAATGTGCAGGGCGAATCCCTTGCCAGAAGTTTTATGCTCAGAGTGTGAAAGGGTGAGTGATGCGGGCTGATCTGGAGAAAGCCTGGGCTTGGCTTCCTGCTCCCTCCAGCATGCCCAGGCTTTCAGCATTGGGAAATACCCTTGGGGTATCGCAGTGCACACTTCTCACCCGGAAAGCTGCAATGATAATAACAACTGATGTTTTATTTTCCCTTTTTTCATATCTATCACCACATTTCCTAGAAGAGGCACACAGCAGAAATGTTCTTGGCTTACTTAATTGTATTTATTCAGTTTTTCTTGGAAACTCAGAAGTTCTGTTACTGTAATTGTTAGCCCTTACCATATGCATCCTGAATTTGACGGATACAAACGTGATGCCAAAATGGAGCGAAAGCTCGGGCTGGTCTTTAGCACCTTGTGCCTGACAGAGACTAAACTGATTTACGAGAGGGATGGGACAGAGCCCTCTGGCTGACCAGGGCCCAGGGGTTCAGTGGTGACTGTGGCTGGTCCCCAGAGCTGCTGCCTTGGGTATCACCTGCAGCAAGAAGCTGAAATGGAAACACATCTACGTACAGAATGATGTACCAGGGGAGGCAAGAGAATTTCCTGGCAATGACAAGTATATGAATGAGATGTGGGTCCCTCATTCCAACGGAAGAGGATAAAAACCAACTGTTAATTACTCTGGAGAATAAAGCATGATGTAACAGGGTAATGGGTGGGTGGAAGCGGTGTCTCAGTGTCTGTGCATTCACTGCTACAATGCAGCTGGGTCCAGCCCCAGGTTGGTGGTAACTGCCTGTGTGTTACTGTACTTGGAGAGTGTGTTCCACATCGATGCAGAGAAAGGGTGTTCATCTTGCCCAATGACATGTGCCTTGCACAAAAAAAAGGGCAACTTACACTTTCTTCCTAGTTCTGTCCCCATAATAATAACAATGTCTTGCTACCCCGTGCAGTCCTCTATGGTTCCACCTCCTTTCTCACATCACGAGGAAACCAAGAAGAGACTCAGGGGCTAAGATGCTCTCCAGTACAGAAAGGAACCAACATGAATGGGCATTTCTTGTTTTCACTTAAGGTCAGGTCTGGTGGGCGTGGCAACTTGACTGCTAAGGCTGTCTGAAAAGTAATTACTCTGGGGCCTAAATTAGCTTTAAATTGATTTCTTCCAATTTTGCCCATTAATTCTCTGCCTCTTGTGCAATTTTCCCTTTCCAGATGGAGCCCCTCTGCCCCATTGGTAAGGCCACTGATACTTTTGTATCCCTCTATTTCATTTATTGTTTTCCTTTGATTATCACTTCAGCTCATCTGTGTTTTATTGCTACAGCACAAGCTGTTTTAATTTGATGGTTTATCTTTGCACAGCAGAGCTCTGTGTCCCGAGGTATCTTTATCTGTTTTCATTGGTGTATTTAGTTCTTGTTCTTCTGTAAAAAAATGCCAGATCTGGGCTCAGGGGATTTTCCCGTTGTTTTCCCATGTGGGTTTGCCATCCTCCTACCTCCTAAGCCAGGGCTGCTTTGCTCACAGCACCCCAAAACTCAGCCGGTGCTTGGCAGGGTTAGGCTCAGCTTGGCAGGCAGGCAGGGAAGCTGCGGGGGTCTCATATGGGCAGGGGAGCAGGATTTGGGGTATGGAGCAGGGAAGCTGGGGCTGCAGGGGGTGCCCAGAGGCCCCACCTTGGGTGATGGGCTAGTGTCTCCAGCTAGCTGAATATCCAAATACCCACAGAAATCCATCTTCGGGAGCACTTGATGAGTGGTTTTGGTGTTCTTGATTAATTTTTTCGACCATTAACTCCCAGGACTAAAGCAGGGATCACTCCTCCCTCTCCTGCATGTAAAGCCAGGGTCATGCCCCATCCCAGCCCTCCCCACTGCACTGGGGGTGCAGAAAACCTTTCCAGCAGCAGTGAGGGTGCTTTATAAAGTCTTTATTATGATTGCAGGAATACAGTGGTGGTGCTGCCAGGTGACAGGGAGCCACAGGCTCAGTGTCATGTTCCTCACCTAGCACAAAGAAAAGCAGCCATCTGCGGGCGCGTCGTCCAGCCTCCTTTCTTCCTGCTCTTTTTCCATCCATGCATCACCAGAGAAGTCGTCCCTGATGCTGGTGTGCCAGACTCCTGCCCCAGCTGCTCACCTCTAGGCACCTAACCCAGCAGGCAGGATCCTCCATCGCACGCCTTTCCCAGCTCCAAGCTCACCTGCAAAACAGGGAGGAAAGGAGCCGAGGGGCAGCCCCGGGGTGCAGGGGCTAGCCCCCAGCATGCCAGGGGGTTGTGTGGGGCCACAGCTTTACCTTGGATGCGCAGTAGAGGGGTGGTGAGTTATGGGAGCAGCAGGTAGAGGCAAAGTCAGCTCGCTGCTCCACCAACTGCCCCAGCAGCTCGGGGCCAGCCTCTGGCATCATCTGTGTCAAACTCTCCCGCAGCCTGTGGTGTGGGGACCGGTGGGTTTTAGTGGGGACCCGAGGGCATTAAATATCCCGATGGCATTTGGGGGGGGGGG